GCTACCACTGCTCACAAGACAGATTCTGACATCGCAACCTGATGGATTAAGTCGTTTTCTACATATGCACGCGTTCCATTGGTATTCGTGCATTCCATTACGAAAAATAAATATTCTATTGTCTTCTTTTTTATTACAGAAATGGAATGATTTCTTCTCGCGTATTGAAGGAAGCCCTGTTTATAATACAATATATGCTCTACTTCGAAAAAAATGTAGGTATTAAAACCTGTACAGCCTGACTAAATTACCTACCTTTCTTATTTGTACACTGTATCCGCGTAGAGGGAATTTTGGTACAAATTGGCCCCACAACTCGTGCTGCTCAAAGATCGACGCTCAGCGATGCCGGAAACTGCGCGGAAACGCTCTTCGCCGGACCAGGGCCCGGCCATTTTGGCCACCTGGTATCGACGACGTCCCGGCGCCTCGGTGAACACCACCTAGATTGCCTGTCTAGAACAGGCTATTCCAACTCAGCAGCCCGCGGGCAGCGCGCGGGCACTGGCGGAGTCCGTCGGACTCACACTGCTGTCAACGCTCGCTGCCGGCGCCTGGCGAAATGTAAGCCCTCGGCGTGCGAGTCGGCCTTGGCCTTTGGCGACAATTCGTCGCTATTTGCAATAGCCGAAGCAGCGAGCGGTTAGGTTGAGGAGTGCAGGGCACACCGGGGCTCCTACTCAGAAAGAAACCTTACTGTTTACCAGGAAACATTCAATTCGATTCAATTCAACAACAATATTTTATTAAATTAATTTTAGATATCTTTGTTTCATAACAAAGGAAGTATTATCTGTTGCGATGCGTAGAACGCTCTGTTGGTTCTTTCCTTTTTATTTATTTATTTATTTATTTATTTATTTATTACTTTCATTGCAGAAAATAGCTGCTCACATGTTGACTCAAACATAGAATCTTCGTTGCATTTTATGAAGCTTGGGAAAGACTTCCACTTGTAAATTCTGATTCCACCGCGACAAATTAAGTGTATTAAAATATCTGTATTATAGGAGAATGGAGTCCCGCAAATCTTTTGTCTCCAACTGCATCGGCGATATATGGTATCCGGTGAGGCAGAAAAAGGGGTTGTGGTTTCCTCTGCTGGCCACCACTCATATTGCTTCCACGAAAAGCACAGCGAAAGTGCAAAGAGCACCACAACCTCCTCCTTAGCTCGCCACTATTGCACGCGTGCGCGCCCAAGGGTGCCCTCTGAGAGTCCGAGATGGAACAGCCTGGTCCAGTATGTCTAGGTGGTGTCGCACAGACACTTTAGCAAAGTTCTCGCCGTGGAGAATAGTGTATAGAGTTGTCAAGTGTTGTGTGCCTGAGTGAATATGTTTGTAAATTGGTTTAAGGATGTATGAGAGCGTGAATGAAATATTTAAGAAGAAAATGAACAATTCAAAGAACTTTTGCAAAACAAACACAAAGTAATAAACATAATGTTAAACTGAGAAGGCTAAAGAGGCATTTGTAATTTGCTTTTAAGTTAATTTTACATAGGTTTAAAAAAAAAATATTTATTTCAGATAGGCCCTAACATAGCTACACAAGCCTAATCGGCTGCAGCGCAAATTCAATCTCGAATTGTGAATTAATTCCCTCCTCTCCGGGGTAACTGGAGAGGGTAAATCTAAAAGGAGAAGAAGAAAGACAAACTTTTTCAGCAGAGCTTTGGTGCATGCTTAGGAAAGTCATTTTTATGTTTGGTGCGATATTAGAGTAAATAAAAGTGAAAATGCTTAAGGGAAAGAACTTAGCGAGGTTGTCGAGGTCATTGTGAATTTATTCCTGACAGGATATTCTTTCAGAAAAATAGGAATATTGGTGAACAAATCGCATGCCACTGTTTAGAATATCGTAAACAAATTATGCACAGAGGGGAAAAAATGCCACGAGAAACGGTAAGAAAAAGAAGCTCAACGAGAGAGAAGAGCGATTAATTGTGAGAGATTGCAAGAAAAGCGACAGTGATCGAGCCACCATCTGCAATCTTATCTGAGAAGATGAGTGGAAATGGATAGTAATGTAAAGCCCGCTATACACGGTCATTTTTGCATCATTTTTCTGTACAGAAAGTGGATGGAAAAAGGATG